TTTAAATAATTAAATAGCCATGAGCCTTTGTTAATTAACCCAATAAGGCTTCTTATAAGCCCAAGACCGCATCTTTTGGTCCAACTTCCCTTAAACCCAATACCAATTAATTTTAATAAACCAAATAATTAAATAAACACTTAAATTAAAAAAACTAATTACACAAAGCACATAAACAAAACAATAAATTACATCATACTAATAAAATTAACACGACAACAATTAAATCAATAATTAAGCACACAAATAATCAATCATTATACATAATCACGAAATATAAATTTATAAAATAATTAATCTAAGCAATCAATAAAACAAATCAAATAAAAAAAATCAAATAAACACAATTAATTCAAATCAAATCAAATAAATCATTTAAAAATAAAAACAAAAACGATTAATCCTAATTAATGAATATAGGTTTAAAGGTAATGTAGACCACGAGAAAGACACCACTATGTGGTTAAATTTTTTGATAATTTTCTTGCGCAAAATCTACACACTCGACCACACAAGATACACTTATACGGAACATATTTAATGAATTTAGCTTTACTTCATTAAATATGTTTTAGTAGTCATCTACTCCTCCATCAGGCATGTATGTATATAATTATTCTAATGATCCTAACATGATCAAAATTTTCGTACAACCATCTGGCTATGTGATTAGTGTGTTTGATCAGTGACGTAGTGATATTTATTCTTATTTTAAAGTAAAATTTAGAGGATTTAAGTTTCACAAAGTACACTGTATGAAAGAGTTATTTGGCCACACCAAAAAAAAAAAAAAAAAACATAAAAATATATATCTTATAATGTTAAGAGCCCTTTTGTAGAGATTTCCTTCAAAAAAAAAAAAAAATTTCACTTTTAGATTATTATGGAATTTTGAATAAATGTGTAAATATTTACGATACAATCTTCTAGATTATTATTTATGTAAAAAAGAGAGTGAAAATCTATTATACTAATATGAATAAATGTGTAAATATGATACTATTGTGTTCGATAATTCAAGAGAATTCAAGAGAATTGATGTAGACCATTAATTAGATTTAATTTTAGTCCTTCATTTAATAGGTTGGTGTCTACATTTAATCTTAATCCTTCATTTAATGGGTGGTATGTGTTCTGTAATATTTTGTTTTGTTTCAAAACTGCTACAGTAACTATTTTCTGGCCCAATTCATGTTTGTGTCCACTTGTTTTACAGCCAACAGTTGCAGAACACAACTAATTCTTGGGTCAAAAGCTGAAACACAAAATTGGTATTTTATGTTGCTCCAAAAATGGACCGGCCCATTTTCACTGTAGCGGGGGCAACAAGTTGCCCATACTTGGAACAAAAATTGCAGAAACTAAAAGACGATTCAATTGCAAAACCAAAAGGCGATTCAAATTTTAGGGTTATCTCACGCAACTCTCAAAGGTGATTCGGGCGACTCGAGTACGTACAAGCAGGGTTATCTCACGCAGCTTTCAAAAGGCGATGTACAAACTCGGACTTGAAATCGACGAGAAGATCTAAAGCTCTTTGTGTAGTTCATCTTTGAAGAAACCAGGCAAACACAGAGAGAATAATTCGGCAAACAAAAATTGCGGGTGCCGGCGACAAAGACCAGCAACTCCGACGACGGCAGTGACCGAGCAAGGAGGGCCGGCGGTGATGGTGATGGTGACGGTGACGGTGTCCCGATTCCAGTGAAGACGACCATAGAACAGTGTCGGATCTTGGGGTTCTGAATGGTTTTGTTTGTGTGATGGGTATGATTGGTGGGAAATTTGGGTTTGCAATTGAGAGTGGTGATGGGTGGTGGCAGTGAGTTTTGTGAATTGGTGGTGGGAGTGGAAATTGGTTGTGGCAGTGGGTTTTGGGAATTGGTGGTGATGATGGATGGTTTGGGTGATTGATGTAGGCTGTGGTGATGGTGATTTGTAGCTGGTTGGTGATGGTGGCTACAATTGTGGTGATCTCGAGTGATGGTGGCTTCAATTGTGCAACTCCTGCTACAAAAAAGAAAAATTAATAATAATAAAATCGAAAATAAAATTGTTGTCATATTTCTTAAAACCAAATGCTTGCTAAACATATTTTATAATGTTTTTGTTTCAAAATTCTCATTATAAATTTTCTTGATAAAACATGTTTTGCTAGACACAGCATAACAAAACATTTACTTTCTGTTTTAGGTTAAAACAAAACTTTTGAAAAATCGGTTATTTTTCCCAAAAAAAAAAACATTTGGTACCATTGAAATTTTAGGAAGAGAAATGATAGGTCTTCCGACCTTAATTGCCGACTCATTCTCCGAATACAACGTGGTTGGATCCCGTTGAAACTCTTAAAAAAAATTTCGTAAACATCTCTTTCTCTTCGATTCATTCCCAACACGTTATATTCGAAGAAAGAGTCGACAATTGAGGTCAAAAGATCTATCACTTCTCTATAGTTAGGGTTTCTATTAGAGCCGATTTAGGGTTGTATTAGGACTAGGAGAACCGGCTTTGGCTAGGGTTTAATAAACATAACAAAAGGGCTCAATCTAAAATAAACCGGACCAAATCGTTTGGGTCATCCTGCGGAAACTGAATGTTGACCATAGTCAGGGATGAAGCCTGTGTATGCCCTGGGGGCATGTCTACCCCACCCTATGTACGTACATATAGTTTTTATTTTATTTTTATATAAATTTATAGGAATTTGTATATTATGCCCCCTAAAATTATTAATTTCCAAACTTTTTGTAATCTTTTTATATTTTTTCTCTTTTAGTCATTTAAATATCTTTAATTTCCTTTTTAAAAAGGTTGACTTTCCCTTATTTAATCATAATCTAATTTGTTTCCTTCAAAATTCATTTTTCTTTCCCTTTTGCTTATTCTTATATTTTAAAAAATAAATAAATAAATAAATTCCCACACCCCCTGTATTTAAATTTGACTCAGCCACTGACCACACTAGTACTAACGGAGTATATAAACATTGAGAAATTTTACATGTATTTGCCCGGGAAAAACATAAATTTTACATGAATTTCAAGTTTTATATATAATATGAACAGTAGTATTACAGGCCCATAAAGATAATGAGTCAAGAGAGAGACAAACATTTGCATCCCATTGCAAAACATTCCCCAGAGGTAGAAGCCCAAGAAGAGCTACGGCTAACAGTTGAAGTTCTGTAGAGAGAACTCCACAATCCCGTGAAGCATGGACAAATCCTCCATATCCCCACTGTTAGGTGTCATGTGATTTCGTCTGGTACCGTTAGGTCAATGATTTATTGATATAATTAAATCCCAGACCACTAGAAATATAGGTTCAAAGGTGATGTAGACTACAAGAAAGACCTCATTTGGTTAACTTTTTTGATGATTTTATTGCGCAAAATGTACACACACGACCACACTATATACTTATACAAGGGAACATATTGCTTTGTATGTATATAATGATCCTAACAATGTTAAATTTTTCATAAAACCATCTGACTATGTGATTAGTTATTTTCATATAAATTTAGCACGTTAAATGCCAAAAATTATATCTAAGAGGTATACTTTTAATGGTTGACTAAATGATGTGTTTAGTTGGTGACTTAGTGATATTTTTTCTTATTTTAAAGTAAAATTTAGAGAATTCAAGTTTCACAAAGATGACAGAGTTACTTGGCCACACAAAAAAAAAAAATTAAAAATATATATCTTATAATGTTAAGAGCCCTTTTGTAGAGATTTCCTTCATTTTTTTTTTTTTTAACTTTTAGATTATTATGGAATTTTGAATAAATGTGTAAATATTCAAGATACAATCTTCTAGATTATTATTTATGAAAAAAAGAGAAGAAAAGCTACTATATTATTCTGAATAAATGTGTAAATATGATATTGTGTTATAATTCAAGAGAACTGATTTAGACCATTAATTAGATCTAATCTTAGTCATTCATTTAATAGGTTGGTGAAATGAATCTCATTTTGTAAAATCATCCCTTAGTTCCCCAAAGAACATTTGGAATTGATGTTACTCCAACACCATTGAAATTTTAGGAATTTAAAACTTATTGTTATAAAAGATTACCATTAAATTATAGTATCTTTACCAAATGAGACGGAGGAAGGCTTTCCTTATCAGTGATTGAAATCCTGTGAACCAATGATCTTTGAGGTGATTTTAAGATAAAAGAGATGGAGATAATATCGAAGTTTTTTATTTTTTATTTTTCTGGAAAATAGAACTGCCAGATAAAAAAATCCATTCTTGTGAACTGAGGTTTCGATGTATATATAGGAAAGCCGTTTGCAATGGTTTTTACTTGTTAAACGGATTCGAATTCCGGGCAACCCATTGTCATATCAAAATCTTATGGATATAAATTCGTATTCTATTTTTGCAACCTATATATTTCATTTAAAATGTATCGTCCATAATTTTTAAATGCTGTTTTCGTAATCTTCCAATATCATTAGAGAACGAGAGCATAATGCCTTATGATCTCCTCAAGTCTCGAATCTTTATGTGTGTGTGGAAAATTATTAGATCACCTTTATATGTGTATGGAAAATTATTAGATGGTGATCTCCTCTACAGGAAAATTAGAAATTGGGCTGGCCCTCTCTCTAATGTTACACCCAGACGTGATGGAGAAATTTTGTTGAAAAATTATAAAATTAAAAATAATTCAAAGATAAATTTTTTAAAACAAAATAATAAATAGAAATATCTCTTATGCAATGAATTAGTTAGGACTCAGTAAACTTTAAAAAGTTCTTACTTACAATAATTAAAAATATTAGTGTATCTCATGCTACCCCTATCATGCCTAGATTAAAACAAAGTTAATAAAAACCAATTTGTAACATCAACATATAAAGTGTCACAAAACAATATATATATATATATATATATATATTAACTATCAACAATGAAAAATATAATAGAAAACATATATTCACATGTATATTGTGTTTGTATATATAGAGATAGATGGTGTGGTGTGTCTCAGACATCCAAGGAAGGATCGAAGCATCATGAGTTCTCAAGCCCGGCGAAGGCGAGATCTCAAATCAGGCGCCTGCGAATGTTTTTGAGAAACAGGCCTTTCAATTTGTCATCACTGACACTCACACACAAGGCCAAAATAGATAAAAATTTCGGAAAAAATTATCAATAAATTAACAACAAAAACCTTACCAACTGAACATCCATCAAAGAGAAGATCAGATCTGACATGGGTTAATTACCATCTCTTATTTGGTAATTAAAAGAACGTGTTCAAATGTTATTAGTCCGCATCAATAGTCAGAATAGTGTACATCCTCACTGTGACCAATTATCACTTATGGTGTAAAACCTGCACTTGTCCTGGATGAAGCCCCATAATGGCTTGATTAAATTGCATTTGAAAAAGAGATGGGAGTGGGATTCTGGTTTGGACGAGCAAAAGAGGCGTAGCTTTGATTCAACCTACGAGTCTACGACGTGATTTTTCTATCCAAGGTAGGTAACTTACTTTGAATATCAATTCAGAGTATCAATTGTTGCCTAGAAATGGCAATTGAGCTCCAGATCAGATTGGACCAGCATACACATGGGGTTGATTGGAGAGAGTGGAGAGAGTGTATGTTTATGTGTAATCTCCAGTAGGGTTTGCATTCCAAACAATCTTGTTATGTGAGGTTGGTTCAGGAGGACTGGGGAGGCCTAAATCAGGGATGACACTGATTATTTGGTGTGAGAAAGACCAATTTGCAGAGCGAATGTAGGAGCTGACTTTGTGATGAGTGAAGATTATTGTATAGTGCCTTCATTGAATATGTCAATAAGAGGACCAACAGCTGGTTATCTGTCCAGACATAAGTTTGGTCCCATTCCTCGCATGATGAGAGATCAACTTTCTGGCTAATGGTCGTAGTTGTAGTATTTTCTTCCAGCTTCAAGAGCACACTTGTGGTTCCTTCTTTGTCCAAGAGGTACTGTCATTGAACAAATAGGACATGCACCATTGCACCCCAAAAGTTACTGTCATTATTATATATTTATGGGTAAAGTACAAAAAATCTCCCTAAATTATGTCTAAATTTTCAAATAACCTCCCTGAATTATGTTTTGTGCATAAAACTCAACTATCACATTTAGTTGCAAAATACCCATTTTCTTACCTATTTTTTTATTAAATGGCCATAATACCTTTTTTTATTAAATTACACTTGGTATATTTTTCTTGATGAAATAAATTATGAAAAAAAAATATATATACTAATTTGATGAAATATTCTCCATTACATTTGCATAAGTTTGTGTTTAATTTTTTTAATTCATAATTTAAATAAAAATCTTAAATAGAAAATTTTGAAACAATTTAAGTATTTCTTAATTTTCATGAATATATTGCATTAAAAAGAATATATTTTTATTTACGTAATTTATTAATTTTTCATGAATCTTGTTTGAAAAAGAAGATATTTTTTTATACTAATTTTTTTTTTAAAGTGAGTATAATAAGTTTTATTATAATAAGTTAATCATTTTAGAAAGTGATAGCTACAAATCTATTTAAAAATTTTCATTTTTATAATCAATTAAAACTAATTATAAAATTAAGGTAAATGGTATAATTAATATTTAAATAAGAGAAAATATAATAAAAAAATAATTTAATAAGAAATGACAAATTTAATAAGAAAAGGTAAAATAGTCTTTTGTGATAAGTTTGTCCTTAATTTCAACAAATCAATAATTCAGGGGGCAATCTTTAGTTCAAAAGGATTAATTGCAAAAAGCCAATAATTCAAGGGGGGTTTTTTTGCACTTTACCCTATATTTATAAATCATATTTTTTACGTGCACGTGGCTTGTAGGGGTATTGTGAGTACCAGGAGTGGATACCTCCTATGTGAAATAATAATAACCATGAATGGAGTTAATAATTTGGAACTTAGTGCTAGATTTTTTTTTTTGTTAGATTTATATTATGTTTCTAATTAACCTATAATATATTTTAAATTCGATTGATTCTCATTTTTTTATAAAAAAAAATAACTACAAAATCACCTATTATATCCTTTAAATGTCCAAAATGTTTCCTTGTTGTGCCGATGCCTTATCTCAATCGTGTCCAACCAAAAAAATAACATGTTTAAATTTCAAGATACTTCTAACGATATCTGATAGTCTATTTTCGTATGAACAATACTTAGATCCATACTAGTGAGGATCTACACCATCCTCACTAGTGATGTGGACCAATAATAAATAGACACATTTTATTTTAATTACTAAATTTAATATGGTGGGTAAATAACCACCTACCAATCAGAGATGGTGATTTGATTACCATCTATGATTTGGTAATTAAAATAAAATGTATTTATTTATTATTAGTCCACGTCGCTAGCGAGGATGGTGTACATTCTCACTAGTGAGGACCTAAGTATTATTCTTTTGGTATATCCAATACGTCCTACTAACAGACTGTCCCACACCCTAAGTGAAGTATTTATACTTGCCAGATATTTATGAATTGAGCAGCATTTGTAGTGATTAATTTTAATAGTCATCCTCTCATATGATTAAAGTTCTACATGACACATGACAAACTATGATCCTAATAATGTTAAATCTCATGAAACTATACCACTATATGATTAAAAAAATTTATATGAATTAAATGTGTTAAATGCAAAAATTACATGTAATATGTCTATCAATCTTACATATTTAATACATTAAAAAATTTAGGAGTCACTCCTGTCACGTTTTGGAAAGGATATGCCACGCACACACCCAGGGGCGGAGCTCCCTGTGGGTTAACCTGGGTCATAGCCTAGGTCCAAAAGTAACAATAATGATAATAATAATAATAATAATAATAATATTTTCTATTAGCCATAGCCCAACCCAAGCTGCTCAATTCATAATAAAACATAAATGATAAATGGTTCAGCCAAGAAAACAAGCCTACAAATAAATTAAAACTAGAAATTGAAGAAGACCTGGGGGTTGTTTGTCATAATGTGGTATTGTTTTTGGTGTTTTCATTTTCTCTGTTTGAAATTTTTTTTTCCCTAGTAAATTCTTTACTTGAATTTTTTTTTTTAGCCCCCCATATTTTCAAATCCTAGCTCCGCCCCTGCACCCACCATGCATGCTGATATTGGGGGGCTACACGGTGTTTGGCATATATGCTTAAGTTTATTACTTTTAGAACTTTTTGTAATTGTGTAGGGATGAGTAGGGAATAATTGGTCTATTTTTTTTTTTAGATTGTACTAGATGACTCTCTCTTATAGGATTAAAGTACAATATTTTATATTATTCTCATGTAAATTAATATGATATTTTGTAGAATAATTCTAGAGAATTGATTTATGCTATTAATTAGATTTAATCTTTGTCATTCATTTACTAAGTAGGTGCTTATTTATAACAATCAACCATCTCAATTCCAAAGTTATTTTAAATTACAATGATGTTGAGACTTCTTCGGTTGGTTGCCTCTTAAGTTGTATGTTGAGTAACATGAAAATATATCTCATATCTTCATTAGTTGAAAATAAAAAATCATTGGTTTTATTTCTATATAAGATATATAGATATATTAGAGTTCATTACATGACCAAACAATCAAAATCAACATCAACCGCTATACTTTTGTTTAATAGTTGTGCTTGTCCCTCTTTGTACCATGGAAGATTTTGTACTTTTTGGTTAATTTGAAATTACAAAAACTATATATATATATATATATATATATATATATATATAACAATTAGTAGGAAAATAGCAATAGATCTCTTATTATGGTAAGTATCCAATCAAACGCACAACTACTCTATACATAATAAAACATTTTGGATAAAGCACTAATAATTCCATAAATTACCTCATAACATGATTGACTTGTTGGACACGTTTATTCATTAAACGTGGTGTGGCATATATTCTCACACTATTCTAATCACTTGCACTGGCACAATGTTACTGGGAAGTTATAACTACGTGGTTTTTGGGAAGTTACGGTAGTTTAATAATAACTATCATTTGAATCAAAATAGAAAAGAGAGCTTGTATGATGGATTACTTGCTTCTCGATTTTATTTTTTACAGGATCCTACAGAGGTCCCATGTCTAACAAGTGCAGTCTGTGTTGTCTCCATCAAGTACACGCATCAAGACTTGTATAGGCGTGAACGTTATTAGGATTTCTCACTTTGTTTTGTAGACATTAATCAATCTGATTTCATGGCTGGAGGTAATGCGATCTCTTTGGACTTGATGGTTTCTTTCATTTGGTATCAGAGTGATACATTTTGGCTATGTTGTCATTCTTTTAATATTTGTTTAGCGGCTATGTCACCATTGTCTTTTTGGCCTGTAATATTTCTTTTGTATTCTATTTGTTCTGTATTATTTTTTGTGGGTGTGTTTCTGTCTGTAATATTTTTCCGGTACTGTTTTATCATTTGGTTACATTAGCCGAAATGAAGTGGTAGAATACTACACCCATACAGATTGCGATGAATAAAGTGTTCAAACCCGAGCGGTTTAACAACTGCTTTAAATATGGGAGAATCTCATCGTAAATTCATAGAGTGGGTACAACGTTTTCTTTTTTATAGTAAAAGTGATTCAGACCCGAGCAGTTTCACGATTGCTTTAAAAAAAGGTGAATTTCATCATAAGACCATAAAAGTTGTTTTATAATGAATTTTTATTTTTGTAGATTAATCTGGAGTTGTATAGTTTTGAAAATTTCTTTACAAATGAAGAATGCTCTAGAGTTATACAGTTACTGCATATTAAAAAATTCATGTCTAGTGTATTCTCATACATGCAGTTTATTAATGTATGAGTATTACTATTATTTTAATATGTATTTTTAACCAGAGAGTAGCCACAGCATCTTTGGTTGTTGGTTTTGTGATATAAAAAAAAAAAAAAAAAAAAAAAATGTTAATTTTAATATATGATATTTATATCACATAAAGATTATGTATTAAAAGATTATAATTCATTCATAAAAAATGTTTTATTCTGCCCTACAGGGAAATAATCATTGTTTATGAATGAATGTGGATAAAAATAATTTTAGAATTAAACTGACAATGAATACAAATGCGC